TGATATTCTTCCCCTTGGACTCTTTTGCCATCAAACTGAAGACAATAGGGATCTTCGCATTGAAGTTTTTCAAATATTTTGGCTTTCATTTCTTGTCCTTCTGAGATTACTCGTTTCCAAACACCCGACTGACTTGGAATCGGCACATTATGACCCTGTTTAGCAATGGTTGCAAGAACGTTATGTGTAGAAATGTTGTTTTCCAGTACCAGCAAACTCGCTGTTGTAGTGCTTGCTCTTTTGTATTTCGGTTTGCATTCAGTAGAAGATGACGTGGAAGAAGAGCTTGGAGACTTGGGTGAAGAATTGGAGGCAGATTCAGAGACAATATCATGTGTGGGTTGCTATTGAGAAGTACTGGTTTGAGCTTAAGATATTGGGAGTCGGATTCGATTTCTTGGGTGGATTGATTCCAAAGGGGCTTGTTTGACCGTTGAATAACCAACCTTACCTCCACTCTCAACTTGACTCTGGTAGAACTCTTTATCTTCCGAGCTTTTCCATTCTCCATTCACGTTGGTGACGTCAAATAACTGAGAAAGTGTTGCAGTGAATTTGTCAGACGGTTTCTTTTTGTTTTTGTCATTTAGATCAATCAGACGATTGAGTTTCTTTCTGATGAGTGCGCTGGATAAAAGTGGAAAATCTAGAGTTTCCCTTCAGAGCAATTCTATATCCGTAATCATATTTTTTATTCGATCCAGTCGCCGTTTCTCGCTGTTGAACAGAAAAGTAAAATTTCTAAGGATTTGGCGGTTTGTCGGCATCCGTGTAAGATTGGAGAGCTTTTCGTCCAAATAGACCTGTTTGCCTTTACACTATTGCTGGAATTTCTAGAAGACATTTTATGGTGGTATAAAAGTGGTTAAATGACTATTTCTTCGTTAGATTTGCACTGAAAAGATTTAAAAAATTAAAAATTAAAAAAGGGGTAACTTTTTTCAATTGTTTTTAAATTTGTATGGCGTGTATGGAACAGAGAAATGTTACATCAGTTTCATCGCCAAAATATACAAGTGTTACATGCTGGAGATATTCCTTAGCGATTAGAACTTTGTTGCTGGTTACTTCAACAAATTCAGCATGCAATGGGCTCATTTATTTTTATTTATCGGGAAGATATTGAAATTTTAAGGTTCTCTGCAAAAAATTAGAATTTTATATCGTCTACAAGTCATCCAAAAAAAATCATAAACTGGCGCGCTGAACCGGCAGGTGTGACGTCAATAGTCTAATAGTATCTACTTTGATTTGTTTTTTTTTTAATTTAGTTATGTAATAAACACGTTTGTATCCTCTAGAAACACTACACTTGTGTTAGTGTTTTTCCATTGTTGATTTTTTGTGAATATTATACATATACTTATTGGTACTAAGTATTTATATAAACATACATAATAAATATTATATTATTAATATATTTATGAGACATTAGGTAGATTTTATGTAGTTTCCATGGGAATAAAAATAGTAATAAGAATTTTGCATTTAATTAGGTAAATTTTCGAAACCTGTGACAGAAACGGTTTCGTCCAATTAAACGCAAAATGCTTACTCTTATTTACTATTCTTATTATACAAAATCATCTAAACTTTCGGTACAAACGTACTTTATAGAAGCTTTGCAAATTATTGTAACGTACCTTTGCATTTTCACTCCTCTCATCTCAGCACTGATAAAGTCGTGGTTTTTATTAAAACAAATCATGACCATTAACAAACATAATTCTGGAAGAATCTGCTTTTACGAAATTTGCTTCAATTTTTTAAATTTAATATGCACAAGCGCTAAAACATTCTGCAGATGCAGAAATTCATCTGGAAGTAGCGTACGCGCGTATAACTGCTGTGCAGCATGTCAAGCCGGCTGACCGTCCCATGCGGTGACGTCATTGAATTGCCAGGGCTAAGACAAATATTCTCATTTGAAAAATCATATATGTAGTTTGAAAATCACTCAACGGATTGAGTTGAAATTTTCAGGATCGCCTAATCATGAGCAATACTTTGCGTATACAAAATAAGAACATTTTCGAAAATTTACTGAATGACCCCATTAGATCAAGACAATTTCAGCAACGTTTCAGTGTCAACGTTTGGAGTAGCATTTTCGACAATAATTTAGTGCCTACGTGTTTTAAATGAACGTTTAAATACAAATTTGTATAAAACTTTCTTGGAAAACAACCTTTTTGATTTCATTGATGACGTAGGACTTACTACTGTTCAAAATACATGGTACCAGCATGATGGTGCACCACAACATAGAGGGAGACAAGTAACTGCTTGATTAAATGATCATTTTCCGAATAATGGATAGGATAGGTCAACAAGGCCCAATAGCACGGCTACCGCGTTCTACAGATCTAAATCCTTTGGACTTTTATTTATATGGACATATGAAGCAGCTTGTCTACCATGTTGAAATCACTTCCCCTCAGCAGTTACTTGAAATAATTCGGGATACAGCTAGCCAAATAAGAAATGATCCAAATCTCATCCGTCGAGAATAATTAAATAATAATCATTTTTATTTATCAAGCTACTTTGATTGAAATATGAAATTATATTTTTTAAAATGCTTGTAATTACTAAACAAAAACGTATCGGACCTATGTTCGTATAAGAAAAAATGTTTGAAATGAATCCAGCTACTATCTGTCAAAGTTTGTCATAGAGCTTATAGAACACCCTGTAGATAATAACTTAAGTTACAAACACATTGAATTATGTTAGTATCAATAAATTTCGTTAAGGTTTTCACCTATATGATTACAATTTAAATCAGTAATGAGTAAATAATAACTGAATAGATTCTATTAATTTTGAGTTGTCTTAACTTGGTATTTTAGTATTATAGTACTCCTATACTCTATTGGTTACACCCACAATTTTTATAAACCTTATTAAACCAGTAAACGAATTATAGCTTCTGTAATTTTTTTGAAAAATAAAGCCTATGTTATAAATAGGATTCGCTTGTTTTAGGCATCTATTACATTTGGTAAATGATGTTTTTGTTCTTAAGGCTGGTATTTTATAGATAAGAAAATTATCGTTTAGTAAGACAATGGTAGAACAAGTAGATTCATAGAGGCAGTGACGTAGCGTAAAGCTAAACTAGGAGAACTTAATTTAATTTTTCGCATTGTAAGATCATGGAGAACATGTAAACATTAGAAAATTAACCTTTCCTCTTTTGTCTAGCAAATTTGTAATGATACTCAATAATTGTGATTAATGCATATATTAATAGTTTCTTAGAAGCATTCTGCGGGGTGTGATTATGTTTATAGTACCGTACGTGACTTTCTGTATAGTCAACAGGCGTTTAAAGTTCAGGAAAACGTAAAATAAACATACTTGTATTGAATGTAATATCAATTATATTATACCCTGAAGAAAACATATATATCTCAAGAAATATTGTTCCTAACTCGCTTAGATTTTCTAAAATGCTGGACAAAAAATTGCCCGTATAAAGACCCCCCCCTTAAATTTCTCTAATTTTTTTTTTATTTTCAGTAGTATTTCTTGATAATATTGCAGATGCAATGCACCCACTGTGTTCCTGAATTTAAAAAATGTCTCCTACAAAAACATAATATGTGTGTAATTTAAATACATACAAATTACCTATAATTACAATTTACCTAATAATTACAATTTTAACTTGTTTTATTAAATATTAAAGGAATCATCTTATTTTACACTTCATTAAATTCACAATTATACAAAAAAAAATGTTTTAAATTTCTTTAAATTGGTATTTGTTGTCTGGGTGTTGGTATCTCTTTGTGCCACAACTTTGTGTTCCCCCTACTTAAGCCTACCTACAACGAATGGAGTGATTTTTACACAGGATGTTCTCCTTCCCATATATTTTAGTTTTTATAAACTAAAGCTGATGTAGATAAGCTCATTTTTCTTCTTCAAATCTTAAATTTACTCAAAATTTAACTCCAAAATAATTTTAATCATAAATAACTTTGAATTTACACGATGTAATTTTTTACCGTGTAACACTGATTAGTAGGACTGTCAATGGCGTATCTAGAGGGTCAACCGAGACATGCGTGAAACGCTACCTCAGAATGCATGTCACGTTCACCTCGCGTTAGTATACTGTTGTCTTCGTTATAGTGCGGATGTTGCGTAATTAATTCCTATCCGTTGGTGTTTATGGTGGTGTATTGTTGACAATTTAATTTGTTGCTTTTTAATAAATAATGCGTACGCCTCTGCCCCGCGGCTCAGTTCTGACAGCCCTACTGATTGGTTTCAATTTTTGTCCTTCTTTTTGTTTATCATTACCTCAACCAGCATTTCGACTTGAGCTCCAATAACAGATAACAAAAAATTAAGTTTGAAAAATTGTATTGTCAAGAAATTTTCGAAACAAAAAAATCACAAAAGTTGATGCTTTTGAGTTAAATTAATGATTGACACTTATTTCTGGGATATCTTGTAATTACGAATTATATGAGAATATGAATTGTGAATAGTGAATAATTTATTTTCATCAGTTATTATTATTATCATCATAACAAATTATAATAATTATTATTTATTTCACCAACGTGCCAAAATCATTGTGTTAGTTTGCAGAGAAAGCTCAGGCAAGTGTTTATACTTTTTAAACTTATTGGAATCTGGGTTTCTAGACGGTTCATCCTCGTAAATATGCCACCAAGAATGGCACACTCTCTATTGTGTAAATTTACAACAGGATATTGTCTATGCTGCATTTGCATCGCTTCCTTTTTCTTATTAACAGTGTAGTGTTAACTATGTACATTTCCATATAAAATAAATTACAAATTCCACTTTTATTTATAATAGTAACTGCATAATTAGTCAAATATAGTACATAGAGTGAGAGCTTTATTATATACTAGCTATTAATTCCGTTGATTGGTCGCTAAGTGTATAAACCAACAGAACACATGTGGAGTTAGTATTTACAGTTATTCTGTACAATAGAAGGCTTGTTACTTGACTGAAAGTCACACATCCGTGTCTACATGTAACATTTACTTAAGAAAGAAAATCGTGCTTTTTTGTTGTAGTGATGATTAACCCCAAATTTTGGCTTGGATTGATTCTGACAGTGCTAATATTCAGTGGTAATACCAACGGAAATGGTGTTGAGGTGTATAATCCATATTTTCATTTTCCTCCGGGGAGTCCTTATATGGGGGTAAGCAAAGTTTAGTTACTTATAAAATTTCTTGGACGAGGTTATGTTTTATCAAGAGAAAATCGGTTTTCTCAAAAATGGTTGGCTTAGAATTAAGACTAAATTAAAAAGGTATTTGGATAATGGACAAACGATTAAACATTTCAAAAGTTTTTTTTAATTTTATTAATGACTACTTTATTGAACAGAGATAAGTTATCTGTCGAGTTGTACAGAGTGTCCGCAGTATAAGTATCATACATTTAATATTTTATTTTTATTTTTTTATTTTATTTAATACACTGTTCAACAGGTACTACCCAATTATAGAACAGGGATTTTACAGACAGTAATAAAAGAAGTACATTAATTACAAACACTTAAAAAATTAAATGGAACAAACAAAAAAATACAAAAGTAAATAAATAAAATCTATACACTAAATAATACACATAAATGAAGATTAAAATTACATATTTGAAACTACCAGACGTTAAAAATAAAGTTTTTTTAAGTCATTAAGGCTGCAGTTAAAGATATCTAGAGAATTTTTATTACAATTGTTACTGATTTCATAAAGTGGTGAATGTTTGAGTACATTAGTACGAGGAGTTGGTAAATAAAATGTTTCATTTTCTCTAGAGCTAAGTCTAGGTATAGAGATTGATAATTTGGCTAGAAATTCCTGGCAGTCAGCCAAATTATTTAAAATTTTAAAAAGGAAGGATAAAGAAAAAAATAATAAAAAGAAAAGAAATATGTGATAGTGTAGATCAAAATAATAATAATAAATAATTAAAGTGAATTATTTTTTTGTGCAATATTTTGTTTACATTGTTTGCTATAAATAAACGCCAATTCATTTATTGGAAAGACAAATGCAACTCTCACGAAACTCAACGACATCCAGATTTACGTTTACTACAAGCTAGGTAATTTGTTCTGGTAGTTCAGCATGTTTTAGATACAGGCAGTGCTTTTCCTTGCCCTGAATATAGGGAGAATAGTTCGTCAAATTAATATATCTAAAACAATCATGCATAAAATAGCTGCTGTACTCTCATTATGTCCAACGAATATAGGATTTTTACAGAAGCAAATGTTCCTGATAGACAGAATTTCTGAAAGCTGTCTTTAGAAGCCAGTTGCAGCAATTTATCCACTAGGTTTTTAACATGTGACGATCCTGAAGACTAACGGGACAAAATTACTTAGATTTTTAATTACTATGTTGCCAATTCTCTTGGAAGATGTCCCATTCGGCAAGAATGTGGTATACGCGATGAGGCTCTTGCATATATTTCAAGGCCAATATTGTACAACATTTAAATAATGTACTCGGCAACGTTGGATTTGAGGAAACGGATCATATCGTGCCTGTCACTGGATGTGAATTCTTTAGAGTTTGGTTTGTGGGGTCATACAAAAAGAAAGTACAACAGAACCTTCATGTAACTTTTGGCGCTTTTCAGAAAATAACGAATAGAAATAGACCAGTAATATTCCTTTCTATGTGTACGAAATGTTTAAAGTTTAAAATGTGGTGATATGTTCAATACCAACTGTAATATCAAAAAAACGGAAGAACTTTAAAAAATGGTTTTCTCAAAGAGAAAAAATAGGAAAGTTGAGGAAACCCGGAATTGAAACACTTATTGAAGCCTTAATATACTTCGATGAGTTTAAAAATAACATATTATTTTAACTAAATTTATATATTAGGGGTTAGCAGAGCGCAACTATAAATTAATTAATGATAAATATAGGTATTTTATACAAAAAAAAAACAAATACAAAATCTTAATTTTCATGAGTAAATAACGAAAAGAAACAAAATTGCAGTTCTCGATAATTAATTGAATATAATATTGAAACTATTTTTTAATCAAATTTCAATATAAAAGCAAATTTAAGAACCGAGCTCATCAGAGAAAATAATTATTTTGCAAAATCCTTTAATGGATCATCAGTTTCTAAACATATTCAGACACTTTATCTTTTTCTTCCATGGCCGGATAGGTACATTTTTATTAAAATAACATTTAAATGTTATTTATATTGGCAAATACCCATTGGAACCTATTTTTTCCGTTCGTACAATTATTTGGAAAAAAATAGATTCTATTTTTCTGTCATTTTTGTTTCTTAATATCATTTAATGCAACTTGCTTATATGTTTTTACAATAATGCTATTTATAAAATATATTTGAAGTGGATAGACTGAAAACATACGCCAAGTAAGACTTTTGTGTCTAGCATTTATGCTGTACTGTGGATATCTTGGATACGCTAAAAAGTACTATTTGAAGATTTTCTTAAATTTTTCTTGACTGCCTTATTTTGGTAGATAATCGATTCTTCTAAAGAATTATTATTAAAATATTACTTGAAACTATTAGCAATGTTTCCGATTTTTTAAAACATCAAAATTTTTCTGTTATGTATTGTATTTATTATGTATATGTATCATAAATTTTTTTCAGAAATTTTGTCACGATGACAAAAATTACGAATTCATATGATTGTTGAAAATTGTATGTTAATGCCTATCAAAGGCTTGTACAAATATATTTTTTGTGTAAAACCAAAATATTTAATAAAAAACATGAAATACTAATGATTGAAATGAATTCCAAACATAGACGCTATAATTAAGCTAGAATAAATTTATTGTCTAAAATTGAATATTACTACACCACATAATGCGCAACCACCAAAAGCCAACGGAGCATATATTGCGGAGTAGAACAACATCAGCCATTACTGTGTATGTTTGAGGTGTGACTGTGCATTAATTTATATTTAGTCAAACTGTGCAGTGGAGTCTATCAAAATGCATTTCTTATTGCCATCAATTAACCAATATTTCATAAAATATAATAAAAACAAGATAGAGCTGATACAAAACTAGATATAAATGTATTAATAATACATTAAAAGCACTGATTACTGACGCACTCTACTTAAAAATGCTTTCATATTAGAGTAGACTTTATAAATCCTGCATTTTCTTTACTAACTTCCTCGTTGTTTGACCTACTTTTCATCAAAGGTTGCAAGAATATATTTTATATGTTCGCTATATACAAATAAATTTATATTAATTTAATAATAAATTTTATTTGCCTTAATTCCTTTTTTCAATGATTCTTCAATATGATTTTTAGCACTTCCAAGATTTTTACAATCTTTCATCTGCCTAAATACAGGGTGTTTATTAAGTACTTGTACAAACTTTAAAGGATGAAACATTACTTTTTTTGTTTAATTTTAGAGGGCACCACATACACTGTTGTACCTGGATTTAAATAACCATAACTTTTTTGTGTCGCACTCTATGTCATTTTTGACTAAACGTACCTAGTCTTCATTCAATTGTACATACATAAAGTACTCTTTGTATTCGTCGCTGAAAGCACCCATTTTGTAAAAAAACGGGTTTATAGTTACATCTGCGTTGGAATTTTGTTTTTTGAAAAACAAGTTAAAAAAAATGTGTCTTTTATTGATTGTATTCTGATGTGACAAACTTAGATCATTTACAAGACTAAACTTCTACAAATAAGTTGATAACATTTACAATTAAACTAGGCGGTATCTGTTTTGGTTTGGATGAATCGTATATCCACGGAGATTATTGGTTTAAAAAAAACGTGGGCTTAACTTTTGGCGGCACAATATGTTACAAAAATTAGAAAAATGTCATATTTTCCTTCCTATTTAATAAGAATATTTTGTAATTAATTTTTTTACAAAATATGACTAGTTACAAATCGAATGAATCATGATTATTATTGTAAAAATCGAAAAAATCGCCAAAAATGGGGTTTTAGGGAATTTTTTTGGGGTCTTTAAATTAGGTATAGGACCTTCATATTTATGTATTGTAAGTACAAAAATTCGGCCAATGTTTAAACAAGCGCCAGAGCTCTCCTAATTGAGGGATTCGAATTTTTCAAAAAGCGTTTGAAGGCTTGAGAGCCCTTCTATGTGTGATTAAATTTTCAATTATCTAAGAGCCTTCGTTTTTGCTGTGCAAAATTTTTAAAATTTGCAAATTTTTTTTCAAAATTTGGATTGCAAAATTATTATGTAAAATCTATCAAACCGATTTTGATGAAATTTGGTATGATGATTCTACATAACATAAAGTTTTCTTGAGCCAAGTATGAAGGTCCTACACCCAATTTAAAGACCCTAAAAAAATTCCCTAAAAAGTAATGTTTTTTTAAACCCATTTTTGGCGTTTTATTTTCGATTTTTTCAATAATAATCATGATTCATTCGATTTGTAACTAGTCATATTTTGTAAAAAATATAATTACAAACATTTGTTTTCCTATTCCATTTTCGCCTAAAATCAACACTTGATACATAATCAAATAGGAAGAAAAATATGATATTTGACGAATTTTTTTAACATATTGTGCTGCCAAAAGTTAAGCCCACGTTTTTTTTATGCGCATAGAAAAATTTTCACTTCTAGTGATATTTGAAAGCCAAAAAGTCAAAAATCTCCGTGGATATACGATTCACCCAAATATGGTCTATTTGAAACAGATACCGTCTGGACTAAATCGCTTAAAAGAGTGTAGAAGTATTTAATAAACACCCTGTATATTTGCAATCATTCTATGACGGGCTAATGTTATTTGACTTTTTATTCTCCATAGTTTTGATAGAGAGTTAACCTAGTCCAAATTATTAGAGCAAAGATAATTTCTGCGGATCAGTTTTCAACTTGGTGCTATTTCATTATACCCGAATTATTAATTCCGAGACGGTCTCTAAGGACTTAAGTTCAAATGCAAGCGTTAAATTCAAATTTGTTTAAGAAAAATAAAAGGACGTAATCTGGAAGCAGTAATTTTCAGCGCCGAGATGTAAAAGGAAATTTAATTATAGATCAGGCGGCAACTTAAATAGAAAGCTGAATAATCGAATTAATTAGTAGCGCTTAGCTCGATTAACGAAATTTGTTTTTAATATGCATCCAGCGATAAGCAACGCACTATCCGTAGCTGACTGTGGACTGAAATCTTGTTATATAAAAATGATCAGGCGGCAAAAGCGAAGGACACCTACGTTTCCACGAAATATCGGAATATTTTGAGTAAGAATTGTTTTCGCAGTTCATTTATTTTATCGGCAAACTTATAAATTCAATTTTAATTAAAATAACCGTTCTGTTAAATATGGAAAATTGGCAAATTCACGTTGTGTCAACGTAATCAGGGAAATATATGGTTTGGTTATTAAAATAATATTTTGAGAGGATGAATTGTTGTAATAAATTTAAAGCCCGTAATTTAATGAAATAAAATATGCATCTCTCCGGGTTTTAAATGCTATTAATTAGTTCTCGTTTTAATTTATCGTTAAAATACGCTGGTTTTAAAATGTTTCCCTGGATGTTATTTGCTGCATTTTTAATTTACATTCGTTAATCTCTATACGGACATAAGAATACAAAAATAATAGAGTAAACACCATTTTAAAGATATTATACTAATTCGATCAAGCGCAAAAAACTTTTTCCTATTAAAATGCAATGTTTTATTAAAACAAGAAACTCAGATTTTTCCATTGTTTTCAAAGTTACCAATTTGAAGGAGCACTTCCTAAAAATCATATAGATTTGTCAATAGTGGCATCATCTAGATGTCAACTTATTGAGTGATGGATTAGGAGTTATATCTATTCTGGTATGGTAGAACATGAAGAACATCGTTTGGTTTCATTTGACAAGTTTTTTTAAATCTGTGTGAATTAGCTTCATACCTTTAAATAGAACAAAAAATACGTGGCCTAATATTAAAATATTCTTTTAGATAGAAGAACAATTATTATAATCGACCTAGTCATGTTTACCGCTTTTCACAATGTTGCTTCAAAACGTCAATTTTTTTTTAAAGTTTGATATATTATTTTTTCTTTGATATATTTATTATTTCCACACGCGAAGGGAAGTTAGCTGATTAAAGTAGCTGTTTTTTTATTTGATTAATTCTTGTCAATGGTGATAATAGAACAACAAGAATTCAATATATATCTCTGAATTATTTTATAATTTCAATAAATCGGGTTGTATTAATAATTTTTAGAGATGCCATTTTTAGTTTTATTTTGGTAAACTAATTATTACTAACTGTTTACCAGCTATTGTTGAGGCATGCAACCCATACTGTTTCCTGCAGTATCGGCAGGAGACTCTGGAGTACCATATATTTTACATAACTACATTTCTGGGTATCAAAAAACATTGTTTGACATGGTTTGACAATTGTATTTTTAAAATTTCTTGAATTAGTTTGAATTAGCTTAATAATAGATTATAAAACGCGAGTTATTTTTTGTAATAGTATATAAGAGGTTGTCAGGATCAAACAAATGTTCAGCAAACTGCCACATCTCCACCCGTTTAATTTTTTTTTTTGACATATATTTTTTTTGCAGATATTTGTTGCAGTCGCTATTCCACTAAACAACCGTGGACTGGCTGATGTATTCTTTTCCATGAATTTCGAAGCGTCCTATAGTTTACCTCAAAACCAAACCCAGTTTGTCTTTCCACCGATTATTACAGACACCGTTACTAGAAAATTTGTGTATAATATGGTTGAGTCTAACATCCAATCGTAAGTACAGTTATACCAGTTTCTTATAGCTTATCTCAAAACTATAAAAGATAGGGAGAGATTAGATGAGACAAGTTTTATATTATTTTGTTAATAACTTATTGGTGCTCGCAAATAAACTGTAGCTGTTCAGTTTTTCTAGATATTTAAAAAAATACTTCAATTTATTCGGATTTTTCAAATCAATCAAGAAATTTTGTTGCAATTTCTAAAAATCATTGTAGTTTATTTTGTAAGTTTATGTGGTTTCATGAGCACCTTCTCAAGGCTGAGAGCATATTCAAAGGAATGATGATTGCTCGGAGACGAAACGTACGATAGAAAATGCTGACTTAAGTGTTCGTTTTTCTTCAAAATATCTCGAAAACCTGAACAGCTAAATGAGATCCACAAACGCCATTATATTAGTATTTTCTAGGTCTTATAGCTTTCGAGAACCCAACAGTTATAGTATAAAGAATTATAAACAACAAAAATTTAATTTAATATTTATACTGATTATTTTGTTTTTTTCATGTCAATTATTTTCGTTTGTGTATCATCTAGTTCTACTTCTATTTTAATATTGTCTGAATCTCATAAATATTGTAATTTAACATGATTTTTTTCCATAATGAGCTTTTTGCAAATTTGTGGATACAAGTTCCTTTGACCTCGAACTGTTCGTTGTCATGATGTTTGAACAATTTATTAGAAAATTAAGAAAACCTACATTGTAAATAAATTTCACTCAAATTTCATTAAATTTTACTCAATAATGTCCGCACCCGATTGATTTTTCACTCTGTTAGTATGAGTACAACTGAGTGAAACTATTGCATCAGAAATGAGTGAGTTTTACTCAAGTCCCACTTACTGTTAACTATCAATTGAACGACTTTTGACTCTATTTTGAGTATATAAATCCCATTTAAAGTTAATTTTTTCTCTAATATGATTTAAATTTGCCTATTATTGAATCACTTTTTACTCAGACTTGGTTTTTAATTAACTAAATATTTAGTGCAAAAATAAATCATAAATGATCAATTAGCATAATACAGTGTTGAAAATGCTGAAATTAATTCACTTTGCCTCCTCCTGTCCTGGCTGAGACCCGCCAGCTAAGACCCGCCGCGCCGGGTAAGGCCTGTTCTCCTGGCCATCACGCTTTTTTGGAGCATCTAACGGGCCCCTATCAACTGTGGTCTAGATTACAGAAGCAATATCTAAGTGGTGCCATCTTCACGGCGCCATTCAAATTACTCGAAATTAATTTGCATTTAAACTCACTCAGTGATTACATTTACTCTGATTTAGGTGCAAGTGCACCAAATACGAGTTTACATGAAGAATTTATTGAAGAAGTATCTATATTTGAGTGAAAGTACTCAGTTTTAGTTTAAATATAATCATAAATGAATGAAAATGTACTCAATAATTTCCCTCAATGGAGTTACTCCGAACCTTTATTGCTTTCACTCACATCGATTTTTTTTACAGTGTACTTAGCTTCTTTCAGCCTAAATTTTTAGTTTTGATTTCTTCTGTTAATTTTCATATTGTTTCTATTACAGACAGTTTCGATGTTTTTAATTCTCGTCAGTATGCCGCACGTGGGTGTAATTTATATCTGGTAATTCTGCTAACGCTATCTTAGCTTCATCAGCTAAAACTATGTTAACTTTTTACCAGATTTTGCGAGTATAATTCAATGCTGTTCTACAAAGTCGTCATTTCTTACAATATCAATAATTCAAAAATTCATTTTACATAGTGCAACACTAGTATTAGTGACAATTAAGATACGATATACTTCGTAGGTTACATCTCACCCATATTCGGTAAACACGTCGTTATAATATGAGACATTCAAGTAACTATAGATATTGATGAAAACTAATAAATTCCAAACAGGTCTAGTGATTCTGCTGATGTGTTGCGTGTATAATTTAATACTGAACGGGGCTGTAGTCCACAGAGTAGCTGTATCGTTCTTACAATATCATTTGTTAAAAACTTTATTTGGTTTTAGGGTATTCAACAAATGGTTTTTATTTGTGAAAACGCTCCTACAATATTACTCTAATTGAGCATAGATTTGGCTAGATTAATGTAATCTATTTTCAGGTACGGCGTTCCTGGGAAGCCCTGTTTGCTGAGAGCGATCTGTGAAGCGGCGGAGTTCAGCACCCAGAGCACCGGGGTATTAGGGGATCTGTTACATATTCTATTAACGTATGTAAATTGAATAAATTATATATAGGTAGCACTTCAAATTATATTCAAATTGTAAATGGGTTAGAGATTGTATCAGGGCAAATGCGACACAAATTTTTCATGACATATATTACATCAGGCGCAAGTGTTGAATTTTATAAATAGGGAAAAATTAAAGGGTGGTAAACTGTTTTATTAAATAAATAAATATAATGAAGATGTGTTCCATATAGAGCGAAAAGTTTCATCCTTAGCACACCCTCCATCACTTTCTAGTTTAAAAAACTTAGTCGTTCCCCCCGTTTCTCTAACTTGGTCTACTTATACAAATAAAGTGTATTCTGCTAGGCTGTTTCTGAAATATCATCTTTCATTTTCCATCTTTCACCTTCAACTATCCATCTTCCATATTCGTCTATCATCTTTCTTCTTTAATTTTTCATTTTTCATCTCTCGTCATTCATCTTTCTTGGTTCACCTTTTACTTTTATCTTCCACCTTCCATTGGTCATCTTTCATTTTCTATATTTCACCTTCATTCTCTTTTCTTCTTTCATCTTCAATTTTTCATCTTTCATGTTTCATCTTTCGCCTCTCGTCTTTCATCTTTCATGGTTCACCTTTTACTTCTATCTTTCACTTTTAATTAGTCATCTTTCATTTTCGATATTTCACCTTCAACCCTTCATCTTCCGTGTTTCATCATTCCCTTTTTCCTTTCATCTTTAATTTTTCATTTTTCATCTTTCATTTCTCATCTTCCATCTTTCATATTTCACTTTTTATCTTTTGATTTTCATCTTCCGTAATTCATATTTCATTGTTCATCTTTCTCTTTCATCTTTCATTTGTAATCCTTCCATTTTCAACTTTTCGTTATAGTGGAGAAGTTGCATTTTTTAAATCTTCAAGAAATCGAAACAAGAACATATATTTTCAGTTTTTTTTTTTTTTTTTTCACTAAAACAACTTTTAATTGATATTTCTCTCAGTCCGAGTATAATAGCATTTTTATCTATTTTTTTACAGGCCTTCATCTTCTAAAAATGATGATCCAATGATAGATTATGCAGAGGCCGAAGAGTACGGAAAAAATAAGAAACACTGCAAGAAATATTCCAAAAAGTGCAGTTTAAGTGTTTTAAATTTAGTGAGTAAGCTAGATAACAAATATTTTATTTAAGAATGGATTTGTGTTTATTTTAATGCAGTGGAAACTCTTTAATAATTTGACTTCTGTTGTAGAGGTGACATTATTTGCTTCAAAGTTTTTTAACCTATAAAATAGAACAAATCGTTATATTCAGTAAGGGCAAAAAATGCGGAAATTGCAACATTTGAAGTTGTCAATGTCCATAGTATTAAGTAATGAAAACAAAAAAATTGATCGAAAATGGACGATGTTTTGTAAATGCTAATGGTATTTGTTTAAGATGCCATCAAATTAGAACCAAAATCACAACAATAAAAGTTCAGTAACGTTCGTTTTGATTTAGAGTTTTTTAAATTCAGATAGGAAGCAGTTTTTAGAAGTAATTCCGCATTTTAAACAAAAGCCTGAGACAAGAGGAGCAAGAACTGAGGACACCTTTGCCATTCTGCAGAGATAGCTTTACGGTGCAATAACTTTTATTGTCTTGATCTTTCGAAAACTCTTTCTCGAATGAAATTGTTACAGTTTAAAAGTACCTGCTGCAGAACCAATATTTGCATACCTACAGCAAAATCCCTTGTTTCTATAAATAACTACGTTCATATTGTGAAGTGATCCAAAATATTATGTTGTGTTAATTAATATTTAACATCGTTTGTTTGAAATTATAAGGAGTTCGTGCAAATTGCCCTAGCCAAATAAACTGCTGTTTTGAATCGGATTAGGTTTTATTCAATTTATTTTTAGGAATTAAAATGAAAATAATTTCTTTAAAAATGAAATTAAACTAGTGGATACACTTCAGCAATTTTTTTTATTACTTACCTAACAATCCATTAAGTTAATCTTGCAAAAGTTCCAGTTTCTTTCTATAAAAAATAACCTTTACATTATAAAAAAGTCTAGAAGTCTTAATCCTAACAAACGATAACCCTAAGTTTTTCTGAATTTTCTCCAGCATTGTAACATATTATTATGTGAACGATTTATCAAGCTACTACATGCGGAAGCCTAACTGACCGTTCAGTTTCATTCAGAAGAACTAACGAGGCATTTCTTTACCAAAGTTAATCCAAACAAGGTATAATAACAGAGTCGATGTTAAAAGAGGTCGATTTTAAAGAAGGTATTGAATGACAAGGTTAAATCGGAAGTGGGCTATTACAAAATGTAGTAATAATAATAATAATAATTGACTTTACACTAAGTATAACCAGAGATTAAAGGCAAAATATGTAGTACAAAATATACAGAATAAAACCTGGTTTACCCAAAAATTAAGGTCACCGGTAAATAAATACATGCTCTACCGCTTAACTAAACTAAACTTAATACAGTTTTTTAATATGTTAGTAAATAGTTGAAATATCTGCCATGAGAATTTTTTTTAATGAGTACCCCATAATTTTGACTGAGAACTGAGGAGAAATATTGTCACTGTCTATCTGCAGAAGGGGCATCTTCCTGACGACCCCATTCCATAGGCGACTCCTAACTTCTTCACATCCTAAATCCGATTTGAAACCAACGTTCTTGAGGCGAAGCATGGTTGTCAAGGTCATTTCTCTTAGATAGATATCCAGAGGTGGCAGACCCAGTAATACCTCCATTGCTATGGTGGGTGTTGTTTGCATAGCTCCGGTTATGCTCAGACAGGCAATCCTTTGTACCTAGCTGAGCTTTAATTTATCTGTCATCTGCCTGACTTTTGGCCATCAGACGACAGCCCCTTAGGCTAACATTGATCTCACAAAGCTTTTCGATATCCATCTTAGCGGCACATATTTCAGCAAATATTTTTTCAAATTATTGCATAATCCTGATCCTAGACTTAATACACTATTTCATACACCTCTCTAATCTATAATCAGATATGTTTCAACAATCTCTGAGATCACTACGACATATTTCCCTGCAATATTGCTGCAATAAAAAGTAATAATTTTGATGTGTTACAAGTTTTTATTTATTTATGTAGTTATATGTACTTTTATTAGTTTTTCTCATTTTGTTATACAGCGTGTCCAACTAGTGCGGGAAAGTCCAATATCTATGTTAAAATGAGGAATATATGGATTTTTCTTTTTACTGTGTTGCCACATTTCTCGGAATGTACAAATTAAAAATATATTCAACTATACATGGTGTTCCACTTTTCTTGGCCAGACACCAACTTTGGTTTTTTAAATGGAAACACACATTTTTTATTTTTTTCAGATTCTACATCAAAAATAAAGGGTACTTTGTGTAGAATAGTTCTATTCAAATATTCACAGTTTTTGAGATATCTCGCTTGAAAGGTTTTTCTAGTCCATATTGGCTGCTTACATTTTCTGATACTGACAGGTTATACTAATAGCTACTAAGCCCATTTTTTTATCAGGTATTTAGTAAGGATGACTCTTCCGAATCATGCTCCAAAAACTGGCCTGCGTTATCCAGGGTAACCAAAATATCATGTCAAAATTGCCAATTGAAAAATTGAAAAATCTCCAATTTTTTAAATAGAACACCCTTTATATTTTCATACCATGAGATGCAGAATTAAATTCTCTACAACTTTGCTATACCTGCTCCTATACCAAAATTCATTAGTTTTTCATGAAATCTCATTTCTATGAAAAAATGCGAAGTTTACAAATAGCTTATATGTAAAATAACGTAGTAGGCTCCTGTCAAAGGATAATCTGGAAAATTTTCGATTCACTTAAGGTTTAATAGAAAAGCGACAGTAATAATTGTGAAATGAATTACTCTAAAGAAGAATTAGTAAATATGGTGTACGCCGTAGGAGAAGCTCATGGTAACTGTTTATTGGCAAGTCGTATTTACCAAGCTAATAATCCAGATTTACAAAGATATCCTCGTACAAAGTGTTTTGTAAAACTGAAGGAGAGGTTTGAAAGAATGGCAAATGCAAATTATGAGAAAACAACAAGAACACACGCATGCAGTAATCAGGATAGTCAAATTGACATTTTGGGATGTGCAGTCCAAAATCCTTCTACAAGAATCAGAGAAATTAGTGATGAAATTAGTATTTCGAAATGTGTGGTTAATAGAACGTTAAAGAAAAACAACTTCCACCCCTATCATTCTGAGCATCACCAATTCTTAACACAGCAAGATTTTCAGAAGCGAATGGGCAACTATAAAGCTACAACATGATGATTTTTTTTTCAAAGGTGTTGTTTACTGACGAGTCATCCTTTGTCAATACTGGTCGAGAGAATCGACATAATTATCACCATTACGCCGATTATAATCCCAGATTAATAAGACAAGACGATCATCAACACCGCTTTAAAGTCAACGTTTGGGCGGGAATATGCGGAGAATATGTCATTGGGCCACATTTTCTTGAAGGAAACTTAACTGGTAATGGGTATTTGCAATTTTTACAAAAGCGACTTGCTCCAATTGCAGGGACATATTCCTCCGGATGACTTAAATAGTCAGTGGTTCCAACATGATGGTGCCCCTGCACATTCCACACTGGCGGTAAGTTTTCTCATTATGTAAGTTATGTAAATTTATAGAAAAACTGTTTCAGGTTAGAGAGTACTTAAATGGTTTGTATCCAGATAAGTGGATAGGTAGAGGCGGTCCAATTCCATGGCCTCTCCGATCCCCAGACCTGTCTTGTCTTGATTTTTTTATGGGGCTATATAAAAGATAGGGTGTATAAAACTCCTCCGACAGATGTAGAAGATTTACGGGCAAAGATAAGAAATGCTTTTTGACCGTAACTCCGGAAATGCTGCGAAATGTGGCAACATAGTAAAAAGAAAAATCCATATATTCCTCATTTTAACATAGATATTGGACTTTTCTGCACTAGTGGGACACGCTATATAAGTAACTTACTTCCTACCTGCAAATAATTGTATCTGTAGAGTAGTGTATTGAAATAAATAAATAAATGACACTGCCACGGAAGCCTTCAAACCAGCACGCTGTCCTAAATTTTACCTCTTGCACTTATTTAGCTACATTTTGTGAAATATTTAAGGAAGGAATAAAACAAAGCAGAAACGGAAAGTAGACCATATAAATTCAGAGAGTATCTATGTCTAAGAACACTGTAGGAAATCGAATAGTTCACATTTCGCTCTAAAATACCCTTAGAAGCAGGCAAAAGACTGGAAGTTTTTTAAACTCCACGAAGTTACATCCCCCCGTGACTCGAATAGAATGTCTCTAATAAGCTTAATGAGGTTTTTATCTAACTTTAGGCAACTGTCGAGACGAAAGATTCAGTGACTATGAGGAATTAGCGTGCCGCATAATCCCGGCTAGGGAATTGTTGCCGAACCGGAATCACCTTTGTTTTATAGTGGAACTGTGCGAGTTGCACTTTAGTGCTGCAAATTTACCATCAGATATTCGCTCTCGGCTCCTCTTGTCTTCTCGCACAATAGATGGCTGCAGGCTTATGAAAGGCATAACTCAGATAATTTGTAAGCATAAACTATGTTACGCAAGTATGAATGCAACTTTTATTAAAATAAGGAACCGAAAGTGAGAAATTAGTGTTGACTCTCTTAGCACGTATTAAAAAAATACAGGTATGGAGGGAAATATATTAGTGCTGGACAAGAGTACAGCGAAAGGCAGCAAACTATTTCATATATACGATTGTTCACTTTACCATCTGAAAGAAATATTAGGAATGTTTCCTCTAACCATAATCAATATGTGGAATAATGGGGGACAATACCAGGAATAGAATATACAGACGTTTTGACAGAACTAAGAAAGAAAGCGAAGAATTATGGTCACTGCTGTTCTAGAGGTCGTGTTGAATTAAACTGTTTCAAGAAGAGAAGAAACAGTTTATTTCGAGGTTTAGTAGAGCAATGCAGACAATTAAAGGGTCAAAAGAATTTCCGAAATTTTTTCGTGATTTTTGACAGACTGTATTTATGTTAAAAATGGTCGTATCAAGAATTAAAAATAGCATTTTGAAGCTCTAAGATTCTAGTTTTAGATCTTTCGATCGAAAATTTTTAGGAGCTACGGTTATCATG